GAGAGAGAGAGAGAGAGAGAGAGAGAGAGAGAGAGAGAGAGAGAGAGAGAGAGAGTGGAGAAGCGTACCTTCCCTCACCGTACGCGGCCGAGTCCCGCGCCCAGCATGTACTGCGACCTGTCCCGGACGTGTCCCGGACCTGTCCCCCTGCAGGCGGCGGAGCTCAAGTACCGCGACTTGCCGGAGCTGCAGGCGCGGCTGCGGGCCAAGCGAGAGGCCCTCCGAGAGCACTAGCCGGCTGACTAGTAGTTCGTGCCGAACAGGCGCAGCTGCGGGCGAAGCAAGAGGCGCTCGCCGCGGCCGACGGCGGCGAGGCGCTCACGCGCACCACCGTCGGCGAGGAGGGCGTGGCGGCGGTGGGTGGGGCGGGCGTGCCTTCGCACGGCGCATGGCTGTGTGAGCAGGCGAGGCGAGGGGTCCGCCGGCCGAGAGAGCGCAGCTGTGAGCAGCGTCTCTTCACACCTGCAGCTGTGGGCAGGCGAGGAGGACGTGGCGGCCGTGGTGTCGCAGTGGACAGGCGTGCCGCTCAAGAAGATGCTGGCGACCGAGGCGCAGCGCAGATCCGCGCGCTGGCCGACCCGAGATTGGCCGAGATTGGCCGAGATTGGCCGAGATTGGCCGAGGGTAGGCGCAGAAGATCCTCACGCTGGCCGACCAGCTGCGGCAGCGGGTGGCGGGGCAGGACGACGCGGTCGAGGCGGTGGCCGAGGCGATCCAGCGCTCGCGCGCGGGGCTGAGCGACCCGGACAAGCCAACGGCGTCGCTCATGTTCCTCGGCCCGACGGGGGTGGGCAAGACGGAGCTCGCAAAGGCGGTCGGCGGGCGCGAGCTCCGAATCGATTGCTGTGTCCTTCGGTGAGCGGGTCACTATGTACCGCCAGGCGGTCGCGGACGCGCTTTTCGACTCGGAGGAGGCGATGGTGCGGATCGACATGTCCGAGTACATGTCGCAGGAGAGCTTAGTTCACCAGTCAATCAGTTCATCAAGTAGTCGATTCATCAAGAGTGCGTGTGTCGCAGGAGAGCGTCTCCCGGCTGCTCGGCGCGCCGCCAGGGTACGTGGGATACGAGGAGGGTGGCCAGCTGGCCGAGGCGGTGCGGCGGAGGCCGTACTCGGTCGTGCTTCGACGAGGTGGACACGGCGGTCTCGGGCAACCTCGGGCAACCTCGACCACTCTCCTGTAGGTTGTGCTCTTCGACGAGGTGGACAAGGCGCACCCGGAGGTCTTCAACGTGCTGCTGCAGGTCCTCGACGGCGGGCGCCTAGCTAATCAGTAGTTGGATGCACTCGTCATGGTTGACGAATCAGGTCCTCGACGACGGGCGCATCACCGACGGGCAGGGGCGGACGGTCAACTTCAAAAACACGATCATCATCCTCACCTCCAACGTGGGGGCGCAGGCCGTCCTCGACGCCGACGTCGACCTCGTGGCAGGAGAGCGCGACGAGGCCGAGGTGCGGCTGCGCGTGCTCGACGAGCTCCGGTCTCGCTTCCGGCCCGAGTTCCTCAACCGGCTCGACGAGCTGGTCCTCTTCCGGCACTCATTCAAAGCAGTTGTCGATGCGTTATGAGTTGTTAATCAGGCTCGACGAGCTGGTCATCTTCCGGCCGCTCCGCAAGGCGCAGCTGCGCACCATCGCGCTGCTCGCGCTGCGCGCGCTCACGGGGAGGCTCAAGGCGCGGCAGATCTCGCTGCACCTCCCCGACGACGCGCTGGGCGTGCTCGTCGACCTCGGCTGGAACCCGGAGTACGGCGCGAGGCCGCTCAAGCGCACCATTCAAAAGGTGTTACCCCACATCTCCCCGCATCTCCCACCATATCTCCCCCTACCTCTCGACCACCATTGAACAGGAGCTCGAGGCGCCGCTCGCGCGCGCGCTGCTCGCCGGCGAGATCCGCGACGGCGACGACGTCGAGATCCACGTGGACGCGGCGTCGTCGCGGCTAGCCGTGCGCGTCGTGGGGCATAGCGGCGTGGCAGCGTAGCTTGTACTACAAAGGCGGAGGGGGAGGGAGTGGAAGGGCACTAGCGCCCCACCTCGCCGATCCTATCTTCAGCCACATCACTACGGCTTTACATTTTCCTCTTTGCCAATGTCACATTGGCATAGAGCCGTACGTCAAACTTGAAGTTATTAACTTGATGGGGATTCGCGCCCCCGGTTAGGAAGTACGCTGACTAAAAAAGATTCAGGTGTCCGGTTTGCAAATCAACTTCCCTCCCCAAACCGCTTTCCCCGGACCCCCCGCGGCATCTGGGGCCGGGGGCCGTGCTCACAGTCACACGTGCACAACGTGCAACACGCCAATCCGAATGGCCATCGATGTCCGGTCTGCATCATCTATCCCCCCGACTGTCTCCCGTGTGTCTCCTTTCGCCCAGCCAGACCCTGACCCCACTTCCCCCTCCCCCGCCCTGCCCGCTCCGACGCTCTTGTCCCAAGCGTACGAAGCGCGCCGAGAGACGCAGACCCCCCCCCCCCCCCCCCACCGCCGCTGTGCGTCGTGCTCCGCAGCCGCAGGGTCTGCTGCTCTCTCTGCCGTGCTCGCGCGGCGGTCCCGCAGGAACCCGCGCCCTTGCCGCCCGGCCGGGGCTGGAGAGGCTCAGTAGAGAGGTGGATGCCGCGCTCCTCGCACACGGCCACCAGCTCAGGCTGCTTGTAGTTGTTGTAGTCCACGTAGAGCGTCTGCACGCGAGGGAAGGTGCGATGAGCATTGGGCGGGGGGAGGGGCGTGTGGCGAGGGGGGCGTCTCGCGCCTTCAAGCTCGGGGCGGCCCCCTCCTTGTGAGGGCGGCGGCCAGCGCCTTGCAGCCCTCGTCGCCAATCTTGTTGTCGTGGAGATAGAGCTCCTCGAGCCGCGGCGCTGCCCCCCCTCGCGAGGACCTCCGCCAGCTGCGCCGCCTCCGCGTCGCCCCAGCCGAGGCCGCGGTAGATCAGCACGGTCGCCTTGCCAAACTGCTCCTCGAAGGCGTCCTTGTACAACCCCTTCACCAGCGGCTTGTCGTCCTTGCCGTTGGTGAAGCTCTTCGTCTCCAGCTCCGCCGCGAACGCAGACGGCAGGAGGAGGTGAGGAAGCTCGAACACGAGCCGAGCGAAGCGGAGGCAGCGTCTGGCGCGACGAGCGACTTTGCAGTAGCAGCGGCGACGGCCGCGACACCAGCCTCGGTTGGTAGATCACGTAAATCAGCAGGCTGGCCACCAGACGGCGCGGCGGACGGCGGCGCGACGGACGGAGAGGCGGGCGGCGGAGCCGATGGCGGGAAGCTCGAACACGAGCCGAGCGAAGCGGAGGCAGCGTCTGGCGCGACGAGCGACTTTGCAGTAGCAGCGGCGACAGCCGCGCGTCTCGCAGGTTGGGGTTCCGAAACCACCACAGGTGCACGTGTCGCCATACAGTAGAGCGCCGCAGATGCTGCAGTAGGGCCACAAGCGGCGGCACTCGGTGCATCGCACAGCTTGGTGGAGGCGCCCTCTGTCGTTGGCGCAGCGAGAAGTAGGCATCGCAAACGCGGCGTGCATGAGCAGGAGCGCCGGAAAGTGGCACGCCGAGCTCATGCTTTACGGTAGCGGGCGATGAGGTCTGTCATGCTGGTCATCTGTCAGCCGGTGTGTGGGTGGTGCGTCCGTAAGCATGCAGGCATACCACAGGTATACAGGCATAATAATACAGGTATATGAGCTGGTGCTTCGCCGTTGTATCTCTCCCTGTCCGGCGTGGTGGCTCTCTCGCTCGCGTCCCGTTCTCGTGCCGGCCGCACGCCGTCGTGTCTCGCGCTTCCTCGCGTGCGCGGGCCTCGGCGGGCAGCACCTCGTCTGGTGCTCTGCTAGTCGCTAAATGTGGTGCTGTTTGGCGCATTGTGGCAGGGCTACTGGCACGCGGAGCTGGGGTATCCACCCGTCTCAGCTCGCTGCCGATCTCTACTACTACCTCCCGCGTGGCGTGCACGGGAGGCGTCGGGTATCCCGTGTGCCCGGCGGGCGGGGCGCGCACCATGCTGCTTGAGGGTGATCGTCGGGCGCTCCGTTAAGGCACGAGGGCTGCCCCGGACCGATTTACGCCCCGGCGGGGATGGATTTGCGGGTTTCCCCGTGCCGCGAGACTTGGGCGGTATCTCCCGCGATGTGTCGCGGACAAACCCAAGTAGACGCCCCTTGGGCGGGATCGCGTCTTACTTACACAAGAGGAACTATAACACATCGCTAGTCATGTACAATCATGAGAACTGGGTCCAGGCCCCATAGTGAGGTGGTCTCCCAGTCTAGCGCACCTCGCGCCCGGCGGGCGGCGACCTGTCCGTCCACCGACCCCTCCGCCCGCGCGTGCCAACGCCGCCTCCACCGCCGAGTCGAAGAGCCGATGTAGACCCGTCGTCCGTCCACCGTGTGGTACGCCGCGAAGCGGCCCGACGCCCAGGGAAGTCGGCAGCCGCGCGAGCCCGACGCCTGCTCCTGCTTGCGCACGCCTGCGTAGCCAGTGCTGCTGCGACTCGAGAGGTGCAGCCGCCAGCCCTGCGCCTCTGTCACCACCGCCGGCGCCTCCCCCGCGGGGCCCATGTGGGATGGACCTGCGAAAGCGCGGGGAAGGGAGAGTGCATTCAGAAGGCAGAACCTGAGCACAAGTGGGGGGCTTGCTCGCGAGCCTTGACTTGCATCGACTTGATTACAACGCGGAGCCATCGCGGGTAGCCAGAGGCGGCGGACCGATCAGCATGGGCGGCGTGTCATTCTGCAGTCGATCGCCGCCGAGCGGCATAGCGGCGCCGTCGCGGGTAACCAAAGGCGGCGGGACGGCGGGAGAGGGCGGTGGTGCGGGCGGTGATGCTGATGATGTGGCCATTGGCCGCCGCCGCGTCCTCTTTGCGAGCGCTCTCGACTTCCGTCCCTTTTTACGCTTGTCCCCCCCCTTGCTCGTGTGTCTGACTTTTCGCCGGGTCAGGCCACTTGCTGTCGGCCGTCTACTTGGGTTTGTTAGCTGTGAAGTGGTTTCCCCAGAGACGAATTCTTCTTTCTGTGTGTGCCAGTCCGCGCCAGTCCGCGCCCTTGTCGTGCCAGTGTGCTGTGAGAGAGTTCTTGTGGAGGAATTCTTCTTTCTGGCGGCATGAGTTTCTGGCGGCATGAGCGGCGCCGTTAGCCTACCGTCAGACCTCGCGGTGGGCGACCTGGGCTCGCTGCGCGCCCTCCTGTCCGGGCGGCGGACGCGCGGCACTCTCGACGCGCGGCTCGACACCGACACGCAAGACACGCTGCTCACCTGGGCCGCTCGGCACGGGCAGGCCGAGGCGGTGCGGCTGCTGCTCGAAACCGGCGCGAGCGTCGGGGCGACTGACGGCGAAGGCGCGTCCGCACTCGCACTCTCGTGCGAGGCGGGCCACCTCGAGTGCGCCCAGCTGCTCCTCGCCTCCGGTGCGGCCGTCGACCAGGCTGAGGACGGTGGTTTTTTCGGGGGTTGCACGCCGCTGCTCATGGCGTGCCAGGAGGGACAGCTCGAGTGCGCCAGTCTGCTTCTCGAGGCGGGCGCGGCGGTCAGCCAAGCCCGCAACGACGGCGTCACGGCGCTGTTCATCGCGTGCCACTTCGGCCACGTCGAGGTCGCCCGGCTGCTTCTCGAGGCGGGCGCGGCGGTCGACCAAGCCGAGGAGAATGGCGCCACGCCGCTGTACATCGCGTGCGAGATGGGCCACCTCGAGATCGCCCGGCTGCTGCGCGATACCGGTGCTTCGGTCAACCAGGCCGCGGTGAACGGCGTCACGCCACTCTTCGTTGCGTGCCTCAAGGGCCACCTCGAGTGCGCCCGGCTGCTTCTCGAGGCCGGCGCGGCGGTCAGCCAAGCCCGCAACAACGGCTACACGCCGCTCTTCATCGCGTGCCAGAACGGCCACGTCGAGTGCGCGCGGCTGCTTCTCGAGTCGGGCGCGGCGAAGGACCAAGCCGACGAGCAAGGCGTCACGCCGCTGCTCTTCGCGTGCTGGCAGGGCCACCTCGAGTGCGTCCGGCTGCTCCTCGAGGCTGGCGCGGCGATGAACCAAGCCCGCGACAACGGCTCCACGCCGCTGTTCATTGCGTGCCAGGAGGGCCACCTCGACGTCGCCCTGTTGCTCCTCGAGGCTGGCGCTGCGGTCGAACAAGCCACGACCCAAGGCGTCACGCCGCTGCTCATGGCGTGCCACCAAGGCCACCTCGAGGTCGCCAAGCTCCTCTCCTCCTACGGCGCCTCCCGCGCCGCAGTGCCAACCGTTGGCACGCCCGAGGAGGTCGCAAACAGCCGCGGCCACACCGACCTCGCCGCCTGGCTGGTCGCCAGCCGCGGCTGGACGCCGCTCGCGCACCTTGAGAGCCTCACCGCCGCCCGCGCTCTCTCCCTGCTGCGCAGCGGCGCAAGCCTGCACGAGGGCGAGCCGACGCCGCTGCAGCGCGCCGCGGGCGGCGAGGGCGAGGCGGCGGCGCTGATCCGGCGGGCGGCGGCGCCGTGGTCGCCGGCAAGCCACTCGCTCTTCCCCGCGGCGGCGCGCGCGCGGGCGGCGCTCCTCGTCCGCTCGCTCTACGAGATCCACGAGCGGCACCATCTTGACTCGGCAGGAAACACGAACGGCATCGCGGCGCGCGACTTTGTCACGTGCGTGCTGCGCTTCGCGATCACGCGCGAGACGCAGTAGCGTGGCGCGCGCTCGCACTGCCGCGCGCGGTGGCGCGAGGCCCAAGAACAGCCGGTCAGTGCAAGGCTCAGGATTCGTCTCTTTCCCATGGTCTCGGCGCAAGGGGCATGGGTCACGGCGCAAGGGGGAGTCGCAGCGCTCCGCCCGGTGCTCTGCACTGCAAAATCAGATTCTGCAGGTGATGTGTAAGACTGTAAGTGTCAGGCGGGCGTCACTTTTGGGCTGTCGTTCTATCTGGGGCAGCGCTCGAGCGGACGAGTCCGGAGATACCGTAAGCTTGCGATATAAATACATTTTTCAGAACAAATCCGGCGCGGCACACGCGCACGGGC